GCTTCGGGTTTTAAGGTTTAGGGTTCAGGGTTGAGGGTTTAGGATTTAAGGCTTCGGGTTTTAAGGCTTCGGGTTTTAAGGTTTAGGGTTTAGGGTTTAGGGTTTAGGATTGGGGGTTGGGGGTTGAAGGTTCAGCGTGGGGGACTTGGGGGTGTGGTTTAGGGTTCGGATGTACGAATTGGGGTTTAGGGGTGAAGATTCCGGGTTGAGGACTTCCCAGATACCTGGTGAGGATCTAGAATCTAGAAAGTAGAGCCCATTAAAGGGCTTCCCCGAAAGAGTCTCTTGCTTGCAGTGAAGATTGAAATCTTGGAACATGGAAACAGGTTGATATATGCCACTTTTCATCATTGCTAGGTTTTCATGTTGGCGACGTTTCAAGGCTCTGGCCCTGAACCTCAGCAGCGCAGCGTCTTTGAGGGTTGCACGTCGTTTAATTACAGGGGCCAGGGGTATGGGGGCCATGGAGCTGTGGGGGCCTAGTAGGGGGTTTAGGGTTTAGGGGTTTAGGGTTCAGGTTTTATGGCTTGGAGGTCTAGTTGACGAACCCTGCGCCAAAAAACAATGTCGCAAGAGTCATCCCCAATATGAACCTTGGCAGAAGAGCCATGACAAACATCCAGACTCCTGCAAATAAATGTTGCAAAGTCCAAGCCAGCTTCAAATGTATGACTGTAATCCCCAGTGCCCAAACCCTCCTTTACGCCAGCATAACCCACCCAAATATGGCTTGCGCGCAGGGCACTTCACATGCTGCCGGGGGGTTCTGCATGGGGTTTAGGGCCTGGGGTCTAGGGCATGGCGATTTATTGGATTCTCTCTAGCTGTTTGCCGGGTTGCAGCAATCAATGGAGGGATGCCAACATTGTGGTCTCTCTTGGGGTACCGCGAATACTAGGGGGCCATACAGATTTCAGGGTTTCGAAAAGGGACCAACATGTTGAACAACTACCCAATCAGGTTGGTCCAGGTTACTACTACTGGAGCTTTGGAATGATGGAACCCCAAAGGTCCCCGCTTCCAGGATGCACCCTAAACCCTAAACCTTTCCCACAGCCATGTACCTTTGCGGCACGCCACCCCGGAGGATTTTTACATACCCAGCACCCTACCTGCTAGGGGGGCTTTGCAAAGCGGGAGGGCAAAGGCACCACCCCCAACCTACATCCTAAATTCCAGTCCCCTAGATCCTGAAGCTCCCTAAACCCTAAACCCTAAACCATCCCTCGCCCCCGAACCCTGAACCCCTGCACTGTCAAAACCTCTGAGCCTCTGGACTCAACCCTGAAGTCCTCAACCCTGAGCCCCCTTAACCGCTGCACATTACCTGGACCCCCAAAAGTCGGTAACATCATAGCCCACAGCCCCAAGAAGTTGCCCCAAAGACCATTATTCTACATACTTTTGGGGTTTCAGGCACACCTTATACCCCTCGACTTCTGAGCTCTCGAGATTTGGGGGTTTCCCAAAAGTAGGGGTACCATTTTGGGGGTTCCAATCATAAGACTTAAAGTATTTCTGGGGTCCCCCGTACTTTGGGAAGATACCAGGAAACAGAGAGAATCCCTAAACCCTAAACCCTATAGGCGGCCGCGATGCGCGACTCAGAGACGCGAGTGACCGCGGTCTCCAACGAGCTGACCGCAGCCTCCGACCCAGTTCAGAGAGTCTAGCCATTAGGGTTTAGGGGTTTTGGTATAGGGTTTAGGATACAGGGTCGAGGATTTAGGGAGTTCAGAGAGTCGAGCCATTCCGGAACTTCTTTCTCTGGGGGCCCCCGTCTTGACATTTTAGAACTACAGTATTGTGGGGTTTGTTGGGAATACCTGGTCCTAGTGCGTTGTGATCTGGAGGACTTGTATGTACCGGTCCCAGAGCGTGGACGCAAGCATACTCACTTCTAACGATGAAAACCTTTCACCGCCCTGATAGTAGATACTCCTTTTTTAATGATGCGCTATTTGTGCAGTTTTTTCGTTCTAGTGGGGCGGGGCAATGTCCTGCTACAGGGAGCAGACTATGTTTATGTTCAAGGTATCACAGGATGGCAAAAGCAAACTTGAGAGTGGCATTTTATTGAGCTTCACAAGAATAAAGCGTCTTTTCATTCCTAAAAGACCCTTATCAGCGCCTTGTAAGCCCCAAAAATCCTACGGATTCCTGGGGATTTCTTATTGTGAGAATATACTTCCTTAAGTAGATAGAATATGGCTATGGGTATATTATAATAAGATCCCCATATACCTCATATGAGCTCATATTGTATCTACTTAAAGGCTTGATCCTTTCTAGTGCCAATGCTGGCGCACCAAGGCTTTCAGCCTTCTCCAGGTAATACGTGAGGTAATCCTATCACACTTGACGTGGTGCTTTGTTTGAGTCACATGTATGTACATAGTTCTGGGCCTCTGAGGTTCACTCTGCCCGGTTCTGATGAAAGCTCGCAGTGCTCGCTAGAAAATTACTATTGTTAATGTTACGAATACTATTACTATTGTTAATAATGTTAACATGACCACTCAGTCTTACACACCTGGAGCACTCCAAGGCTCCATGTGCCGATAGGGCCGCAGAGGAAAATTCCTCAAATACATTTTTTCGATGATGGAGAATCAAATGGAAAGTCCAATGGAAAATGAGATGGAAACCAAACAGGATTATAGTTGTACCCTCCAGCATTTACAAGCCTGAGACGAGTATTTGTCAAGATCAAAGTCGCCGTAGGTGGCTCCCCACTCATGCTGTTTTGAACCTTGTGTTCCGATTGTTTAAACCTCACGTGGCAAAGGGAAGCCACGCTTTACTTTTTTTCTTGCTCGTCAAGACTACTACTTACTTTTACCCCTGAACCCTAAACCCACAACCCTAAACCCACAACCCTAAACCCTTAACCCTTAACTTTGAAGTCAACCTTGCAGGTCTCGGAAGGTCATCGGCTTCAGGTCCTCAAAGTGACACAGGCTGTCTCTGAGCTCGGACGGGACCCGCACCACGGGCATAACGTGGGTATTGTCCCCACTCAATAACAGCTGGAGAACAGTTATGGTGTAATTATATAGAGCCCTTAATATGACGATTATTACGGACTGTTTATGGGTGGGGGCAGGACCCAAGGGATCACTTGCTTCTTGTAATCTGGAATCGAAGGAATGGGATACTGAAATAGCTACCAAGCAAGCTCGCAATAAACCTTAGAATGCCAATCATAACACCTTCCTTCAATCCCTGAACAAGAGGCAAGATGTTGACACGTCGCAGTGCATGTTGTTGGAGGTCGGAGATTTTGTGTCAGCAGCAGCGTTCCAGCAGCAGTAGCCGTAGTAGCAGCAGTGCTAGCATCAGTAGCAGAGCAGCTGCAATTTTACTATGGTTTAGTATTCTAGTCCATGTTGATTATTGAGAGTTGTGGCGGCGGCGGCGGCAGCGGCAGCGGCAGCGGTAGTAGGATTTGCACCGCCGCTGTTACTCCTCCTCCTCCTCGTCACCATGTTTGCGGTAGCAGTGGTATATGGTATTGGTTGTGGTGGTAGCGACGGAAGTAAAATGTAGGATTTAGTGTGACTACTGCTACGGTTCCCAGCGCTACGAACCGTTCTCACAAACTCCT